CGCCGAGCAGCCATGGGGGCTGGTTCCCCAGCCCGGTACCTAGTGTTCTTTCAGTACTTTGGCACTAAATATAGGTAGGTGGCTCCGCTGCCGCCTCGCTGTGAGCGGTGGAAGTGAGCCTGTTGAGGGGCGATCGTCACTGAAGGGGGTCAGCCCTGAGGGGGGCCAGTGTGATGGGAGAGCTGCAAAGAGGTGGCTGGGGGAGGGATGTGGGAATGTGGTGCTTTTGGTGACGGTTACATCCATGCTGAGAGGTGAGAGCAGGCAGAGAGCTGGACTCTGCTTTCTGCTGTGCGTGAAGGGTTAGGAAGGGGATGGTTTAGGCAGGAAATGCATAAAATAGGCAAAGAGAAAACATCAAAGGGTGGAGGAGAAGGCAAACTGGTGATCTCGGGCTGGGGCTCAGGGAGGGCAAGCTGCTGTGTTTCCTGTAGTGGTGGTTTGCTGAGTGTCCGGTGGTGTGTCTGGTTCCCAGGGTGCAGATGTCTGCTGCTCCAGAGGCTGCGTCCTGCAGGCTGGTGGCCGAGGTTGGGTTTCCCCAGGCCTTAAACATCCCACATGTGTAGCTGTGCCTGTTTATAGGCAAAGAAAGTATGTTGGAGAACTTGCACAGCTCCAGCTCATGGAATTGTGCTTATTTTTTTTGAGGCCTTTACAGAATAATACCATCATATGCCAAAACCCACAACTCTTGCAGTGCATGGTCTGTATCGCTGTGGGTACTGACCTAAATTACTCTTGAGTAGTTACAGGTAGGTTTAGTTTAGCCTCAGGACATACCTCTCTGCACTTCAGCAGCTTTTGTGAATGGCTGTGACTTCTGCAGTAGAGAAGGAAGCTCACCACAAACTGTCTTTGTGGTCTTTTAGTCCCTTTATACCATCCACAAAGCTTGCGAGAAGGGGACCTGCAACTGGCATCCAGTTCCTGGCCCTGAAATAGTTTATCTGCAGATTCTTTCTAGTGAAATTTGTCTGCTTCACCTCCATTTCAACCTCCATCTGAAGGGCTAGTCCAGAGAGTAATATATGAAGGATGATTGTTATTTCCAGCCTCCTTTCTTGCAAATAACTGCTGCACCTTTTCCACTCCATTCATCAGTGTTTGGTCCCTGCAAGTTGTGTAACAAGATCCAGGTCTCCCTATAGCAGTTTAATGACTGTCCACCATTAAATTCTGGACGTGCTGGTGGGTGCTTTGTGAAGTCCTTGGGTCCTGACACGTATCACTAACTGTTGCATTTGTTTTGCTCTGCAGTGGGGTCATGGAGACTTCAAATGATCAGTCATTGATTGGAGTCCAGAATTATTTGGAGGTAAGTCCTTGCTGATCATCTTTTCATTAAAATGAGACTTCTGGGGTCACATTGTTGAGTTACAGATATTATCAAAGATAACTATTGTTTTTAGATTGACAATAAGAGACACTTTTATAACCCTAAACACTGCAATATTCAAAGCACTCAAAGTGCTTTAGAAATTACCTCAGTGTACAGGTGGGAGAAATAGGTCAGGGTGAAGTCAGACACATTTAGACCCTGATAAAGATGTGAACCCTTTAATGAGACTTAAAATTGAGGCACCTGAGTCTAGAACTCTGATTTTGAGAGCCCCTGCTCAGGTGCTGGCACACCTGAAGGGACTTAAGCCTGTGAGCTTCATATCAGCACTTGTGGCTTTGCTTTCACTTGTTCTCAGAACTGCCTCAGTTCTGAGTGGGCTCAGCTCTGCTGCTTCTAGATGCTGCATCCTCTCGGGAGAGGATGACTCTGATAGACATTTTCAGAACAAAGCACACCAGGATATCCATTGTTGCAATGGAAGAAAAAAAAAAATGCTTGGTTTCCATTCTTCTGGAGTTCTTCTAATATGCCAGGGGAAAAAAAAGGTATGATCCTGTCATCACTGTTGTTCCTGTGCAGCTCCCAGGGGTTTCAGGAATGTAAGAACAGCTTTCAGGATGTGCGTGCTGTTTGGGCTTGGAGCGAGTGTGCAGTAGGAGTGCAAAAGGCCCACTGTGACACCAGTGAGTAGGAAGTGGGTCACTTGAATAGGGTGAATGCTCAGTACACCTGGATGTTTGTGTAACCCACTTGTAATTTAATTACAAGCTGCTGTTGAGCTGCATTTATTGGAGCAGTGCTGGTGAGACCCATGTTCCCGTGCAGGGCAGGAAATGAAAGGAAGATGTGTTATTTTTCTCTTGTCTTAGAAGCCTCATGTAGTTCAAAATGAAGCCTGTGCCTGTTCAGAAAAGAGATTGCTTGTGAGATTGCTTTAGGTGGGATCACACCTATGGATTAATACCAACCTTTCTGTTACTCAGATCTCATTTTCAGTCAGACTCTCTAACCCAAAATCAAACTGTAGCAGTTTGAAGGCGGTGCACCCACTATGCTTGTTTGTGTGAGTCTATGCTCTGCATTAGCTTCAGTCCTTATCTGGTGAAGGAACAGAGTTGTGGGAGAGCTGGTCCAGGAGCAGACTTGCCCAGGATGTTTCTACACCATGCCTTGGTTTGCTGAGTGAGAGTGATAGCTCTTGCTAAGCAGCCTGCAGAAGGAAAGTGTGATGAACTGTGGATTGAGTAAGAGGTCTCAGGGTGTATTTGTATGGCTTTTTGCCTGAGACCACTGTGGAGAAAGTGTATAAATATTGTGCACATCTTGAAGAAAGAGCCCCAGAGTATTTTCTATCTCATCTAATGCTCTGAACCATCCAGCGTCTCAGCCCCAGGCGCTGGACTTTGGGTGAGCCCAGCAGTTGTTTTGCATTATCCAAGTAACTTTGTTTTAACAGGCGAATGGGTAGGATGGGTGATTAAAGGAGAAAAGAAGAAGAAAAAAAGAAAAAGATAAACTTATTTGGTGTTGTCTTTTCACAGTATCAGCACTTTGCAGGCCAGTTCTGGGATATGTGCTTTGCTTTCATGTGGTGGTATTGATGCTGGGCACTGCTGAGCAGAGCTGTGTCTATTAGAACCACATGGGAAGTCTTAAAGCAACTTTAATAGAAAACTTCTGGGGCCTGTAGGAATTTATCTTCCTTCCTCCATTTCTGTACAGCCTTGAACTTCACAACTTTCCAAAGCGAGGAAGGCAACTGAAGGGAAGGGCAAAATTAAATGTGTAATGAGATCCTTACTGTATTCTAAGTACGTTCAGACATTTGTCTGCAGTTGCAGGCAAGCAAATAACCTGGGAGGTGTAGACCTTGTGTTTCAACCACTGTGTCATTAGTAGCGTAATGGACTGGTTTGTGAGTGTGGTAAGGTAAAATAGCTGGACTGGGGCTGAGCAGAAGGCCTGTCCATAACCCTTTGTCACTGTAAAGCACTGCATCCTGCAGGACACAAGCTTTTGTAGTCTTCAGTACTGCTATGTAACAGAGCTCTGGGACTGTCTGGAAGAAATGGAGACTTGTTTTAGTTCAGGGACATATGTTAATATATCTTGGAGGGGAGTAAGCTTTGCAGGCATCACTTCTGTTCTTTCTTGGAGACAATGTATTTGTCTTGAAGTACTTGGAAGCCCAGCTTGCTAGTGATGGGTCCAAAACAAAATTCCAGACCTTGCCTCCCAGATGGGGAAATGTGAGTCCCGTGACTTGGCTCCCTTAAGTTCCTTGTGGAAACTTATAAGATGCAGGACTTTATGCTCTGGTCTCAGTTTTTACAAATGGCCTTACTGTAAAGGAAGATTTCCTGTGTAGCACCTTTTGTTAAAGTGAGTAGTGATGTGTTGTTTGTGCTAACAGGTACCATATGCAAGGCCTGCTAGGATCTACAGAATTAAGTTCCATTTCATACTTGGTTTGAACATCTCCTGAGTGTGCTGTTTCCCACTGTGCTGGTGAATGCTGCCCAAAACTAATCTTCCCCACACAAAGCTCTGTTTGGCCAGCAGCCTTGTGCTAAGGCCAGATATTACTCCTCATGAAAGGAAAAGGGGGAGTAGGAAAGGAAAGAGAACATATCCAAGCTCCTTGCTATGCAAAGGCAGCTTTGGTACAACACCCCAAAAAAAAGGGGGGAGAAGGAAGAAAGGAAAATGGACCAAGAGAACTGTTATCTCCAACCACTGTTACAATAGTAATTCCAGTGGCATAGGAGATTGCTTTGGAAACCCCTTCTTATAGCAGAAAGCCCTTTCCCAGATTTTTCTTCCTGACTTTCACTTCAGCTTTTATCTATTCCACTAAAAATGAGTTAGATTTTTAATTAGTTTCAGTTGAAATAGCACCCATTGAATCAGTGAGGCTGTGATGACTTGCAACCAGAAGCTTGCATGTTACTATGTGTTTATAAAACAGTAACTTATAAGTTGTGCAGTATCTCTGGCAATGCAGTGCAATCCCTTGTGTCTGTGCAACTGATGGATTGTGCAATTCAGCTGCCATGAAAGAGAAATAGGTGCTTACTATTCAAAAACATTCCTAATGCCTGTAGAGGTGGATGCTAAGTATCCTGAGTATCCTATCCTGTAGACCTCAGGGAGAGAAGCAGGTGAACTTCTGCTTCCTCATCATAGGTGGTATACAGCAGTGGGCCTGTTCTTCATCCTGCTTCTCCAGCATTTGTAAAGAGTGAGAACTGTGAGTAGGAATGGCAATCTGGAATGTGGATCCGTATCGTTCTGGCAAACAACAGTGGAAAGCTCAGCATGATTCAAAATATGGAAGTACTTAGTGAATGAAACCTGTTAGCAGAACAGACTTACTACATGCAAGTAATGCTTTCCCCTGCATTGCTGGTATGCAGTGTGTTAGAGGATAAACTGACACTCTGGGATGCTTGTTGCTGCTCCAGGAATATGGTTGTTTGGAAATGCTATGACTCGGGAAGTAAAGGCTGAATGAAAATAGATGGGATCTGGTTCAGTGAAAGGCCTCCAGCAGGTGCCAAGCCAAGACTTCAGCGTTCCTTACACCTGCTAAAGAGAAGGGTATTTGCATGCTCTGTGGCTTAAAGAACTTTGAGCACTGGGAGGACAACCCAGCTGCCTTATTCCTTATCTTCTTTATTGCCTTTTACCTGGGGCCCCATGGGTAAAGGGTGTAACTTCTGCCTCAGTTTCCCCATAGGAATCCACAGATGATACCCAACAGAGTAGTGATCTGGATTAATAGCAGTAAAGGCTTTCGAGTTGCTCAGATGAAAGGCCTGCTTGTTTTAGGGGCTTGTTTTTTCTGAAAGGGCAGGAAAAACTGGTTGCTATCCAAGCAGTTACTAAATGTAAATAATGTGGGGTTTTTAGCAGTGTGGGTGATACTCATAGATGAAAGTATACAGGAACCAGAGGAGGAAACCATCAGCTGCCTGTAAGCTCAAAGGGCATCAGGATGGTACAGATAGGAGACATTTGCATAGGTGAAGGGGTCATTTCTGAATTGCCTGCAAAGAAGTTTTATCAGTTCATAAATACTCTTTTTAAGGAGATTAATTAGGGTGGGATATAAATGAAATACTAGAATTGAAACTGGAGGCAGCAGTTGATAGTCCATTATCAGCTCCATGCCTGTTAGGCTGGAGGAAGAATCCACAAAGCTTTTAGCTTTCACAAACTGAGATGTGGTGGTGGTCATATTCCTCCTTGGATGTCTAGCACATGCATCCTTTGGTCATTTCTCCAGAGACCTTTGCCCAGGAGAAAACTGTGCTGTTGAACCTGTCATTCAGCCCCACACCTTTGTGGGGGAAACAACCAGATTTGCCTTGGAGTCTGCAGTCCTCCTCTCCAGTAGGGCTCAGCTCCTGTTGGCAAAGGAGATGGGATCCAAACAGCGTTCTTACTGTCCAGCTTTGTTTGGATGCAGGGTGGGATCTGAAGGAGTGCTGCATCCAAACTTCTCCAAGCCCCTAACAAGAGAGGAGGATGTTTTCCATGCTCTCTCCCATTCTCTCTCCCTCTCTAACCCCACTCAACTGTGTTTCCACTGGCTGGTTTTTGCTTGAGGGGAAAGGAGGGGGAAAAGAGAGTAGAAGAAGGGAGGAGCCTGCAAAACCCAAACATACCTTTGCAGAAACCATGCTCTTAAAATGCAGCTTCTGCTTTAAGACAAATTGCTGAGGCACAAGCCAAGGTCTGCTGCGGAAAACTATTTAATTTCTGTCTGGTTCTCTCTGCTTAAGGGTGATAAATAAAGATTTTTGTTGTTAATTGTAACCACATGTGAACTCCAAATAGAAGGATGAGGAAGAGGAAAAGCTAGGGTCATTTTGTTCTATTTCCCAGGCCTTCCCCTGCACCTCTGGTGCACTTTTTCCTTTACCTCCCCATGCATTTTAAGGGTATACTTCTGAGAGCCCGGAATCCTGACTGCTCAGTAGTGGGAGTCTGGAAGGTATTTGTGAGTCAGCAGTTCAAACTATTGCCTCTAGGAACCACATGAAAATCAAATAAAGACCACTGGTTCACTACTCAGGAGTTGGGATGGGAAAGGGAAAGATGTTTCAAGCCATTCAGCAGGTTTTCTCCTTTTCTTGTTGTTTTTCAGTCTTTCAGATCTGCTTCACTCATTCCCTGTAACAAATTACATTGGATTTTTAAGGGCCTGTCCTCACAACGAAAAAATCTGTATTTTGCAGTGGTCTAGCAACCTACTTTAAAGCATTACTGTAGGTAAGACCTACTATGGTTTTAACATTGGTATTCCATGAACTTGCTGACCTACCAGTGTTTGCCCTTTACCAAAACCCACACTGGCTTTACTAAACTTAGGCCAGTCTAGACAGACCCTTCAATGTGTAGCATCTAATTAACCATGTTAGAATCTCTTTTGTTCTCTCTCTTGTGTGTGTGCATCTTGATTAAAAGACACCATATTAATGACTCATTTAGCAGGGCTTTGTTTACTTT